CCCGGCGCAGAGACAACCAGCCAGACCGTGGTGGTTCTCTCAGAGCAAGACGCAGCCCAGCCTGGGCCGGCCAGGAGTCCAGCCCGTGACAGGACAGCATGCGGATGCGGGGCTGCGCGCTGGCAGTGGCCGGACCACCGCCGAGGTTGTGGGCACACGCCGGCCGGACCAGAGCCCATTGTCGGGTCACTTGGACAGTTCCTGAGCCGGGCTTTGGGGTCCCCGGCTGAGTCACGGGAGACACCCACGGGGGTGCAGATCAGAGGGGCGATGCCACGGAACTGTGTGGGGCCACTGAGTGATGGGCGCACCGCAGGAGGACCTGCAGGCAGGTGCACAGGCTTGTGGACTGTGGCCACCTTGAGGAAGACAGCGCGGGGCCGTCCGACCACGGAGGAGCGACTGGCACCTGCACGCTGCCGCCCCCTGGCTGCTGCCGCGGGCGCCTGCGGGGTGCGGCGTCCTGGGGCGCATGGCACCCCGCGGCACTGGGACGTGAGGGTGGTCTCCCTGGGTGGAGACGCCTCCGGGGTGGGCTGAGACACGCTGCAGGCTGCTTCTGCTCTGCCGCAGAGCCTCCGTGAAGGCGGAGGGTCAGTGAGCGCTGTCGAAACCAGCAGGAGCTTTCTAGAGGCCCCTCACTGCCGGGGGCGCAGTGGCCACAGGGGCGCCCCGGGGCGGGGAGGCGGGCCTGGCCGAGGCCGGTCACTGGCTGAGCGCGAGCCCGGGGCCCTCCCGGGATTCACGGCCCTGGGCGGCGTGGCCGGCGGGCCCTGCAAACAGTGGCCCCGAGGACTGAGTGTCCAGGGCTGGAGAGGCTGTGCTCCCAGATGCCCGGCATGGGCAGGGCGCTGGCCTGTCGAGCCAGCGGCCACCTGACCTTCCCCGCACATCTGCCTCCTCGGACAGCCAAGCCTGTCGCCTTAAAGTGGCCTGCGAGGCGGCTCTGAGTAACGCTTGTCTCGCCGAAAGCCGTCTTTACCAGGATGGGTTACGGGGGGCGCGACCCCGCGCAGGGAGCAGAGGTGCCGCCCTGGGCCAGGCCGGGCACCAGCACCTCGCACGGCGGCCCTGGGCGTGCAGCGCTCGGCCTCAACTCTGTGAAATGGGGCGCAAAGCTGCCCGGCTCCTAGTGAGGAGACGCGATGCCCGCGTGAGGCGGCAGGCGGCGAGCTCCCGTGGCCAGCCGCCCCTGGAGGCCCAGCCCCGTGTCCGCCTGCCCCACGGAGCTGGGGGGCCTTGTCTCCCCCACTCCCACCTGGCGGACTCCATCGTGCCGCTGTCACAGGCAGGCTGGGGGCCCCGGGACCGACTCCTGTCCAGGAGAGCAGGTGCCGCTGCCCACCACGTCGACACAAAGTGTCCCCCGGGGCGCGGGACTGTCACCGGAAGGCGCTTCGGCAGTCAGTGTGCCGCGGAGAGGAGAGAAAGGACAGTGTCCACATCAGCACCCGAAGTCGCCGGTCCCCTCGTGGGTAAATGCCCAGCAAGCGGGGCGGCCCAGAGCTGGGCCACGGGGACCCGAAGCTGCGGCCGGCGTCTGGGTCACCTCCCGGTGGGGCCGCGGGGCCGGGCAGCAGGGCCCGGCGCGTCCAGGAGAAGAGAACCCCAGCCCAAGTCCAGGGAAGGGCCGCGCCGCCAGCCTCCCGCAGGCTCCCCACGCCTCTGCCCGCCAGGCGCCTCCTCGCACACCCTCCGGCTCCCCGTCCCGGCGCAAGGCCGAGGCCGAGGGCCAGCGCAGCTTCCGCAGTGGTCTCCGCGCGGCTCCCCTCGCCGCTCAGTGCCACCCGCCTTGGCTGGGGCAGGAAACCAGGAACCCCCTTTCCCCGGGGACGCCTGTGACAACATCCATTCTTGCCGGGTGCCCACGGGCCATGCTGCGTCCCCCCGCAGCCCGTCCGCACCCCCACGCTGTGTCCTCCCCCTTCCTGCCGTGGCCTCTCGCGGTGCAGGTGAGTCCCGCTAGTTGGAGACTACATGTGTTACAGGGCGGGGGCACCCCTGAACCCCCAAACCTGCCTGCTCTCAGTGGGTTCTGCCATCCGCCGCATCAAGACAGAACATAGAAGACTTCGACGCAAAGGGGCTTTAACGCAGTGAGCGCACAGAGCGGAAGGCAACGTGATGTCCACATCAGACACCGGAGTGACCCGTCCCCTCGCGGGCAGAAGCCCACCCAGAGGCAGAGGGACAGCCCGGAGCCGGGCCTGGACGCCGCCCCAGGGCGACAGCACCTTCTGGCCGGACCACGGGACAGGGTCAGCCATGGCCAGACCAGCCTGGAGGGGACGAGCGCAACCAAAGTCAGCGTGACCCGCCACAGCCGGCTCCCCGGGCCTCTCCCGCGGCCGCCTGAGCCCGTCGGGGCCAGGAGCAAGCTCGGGGTCTCCATCGCTCGCTCCCTGCGGCTCCCTCAGGTCGCCTCCTGGCTCCATCCTGCCTCCTTCCTCTCTTTTTCTCGGCTCAGCTCCACCCTCCTTCTGGGCGGGGCCGGGAACCTGGAGCCTCCCCTTTTCCTGGGGACCCCTGCTACCTATGGGGCACTTTGCCCTGCTGGTCCCGTTCCTACCTCGAGACACTGCAGGCGGAGGTGTGGCTCACCCGCAACCCTTTCAGGAGGGAGGGAAGGCGTCCGGTGCCTGAAGGGCGGCAGGTGCCAGGTGCGAGGCGGAGGGACATGAGCCCAGGGCCGGCCACTGACAGTCAACCCCGGGAGTGCCTCCGTCTCCCCCGGCCAGGGACCACTGCCGTCCCGCCGCCTTGCTGGGCCGGCTGCTGCTTGCGAGCGACACGCTCCAGGCGGCGCACGAGGGTGGGCGCCCTGGGGACTGCCATCGGGGAGGCCAGCGTGGGGAGGGGGCGCGTTGGCCACATCTTCCCAAGGCCCCGAGGCCCTGGGCCTCCCGCCGCTTCTCTGACGCTCAGCGATAAACCCAGGATATCTGGGGTGTTGCCTGGCCTAGATCCGGCTTTCCTGGAACACAGTGAGAACTTTTGATCTGCAGACAGTTTTGATTTTTATTGCAGTGTGCTTCCTTATGTTGTTGGAGAGATTTCGCATTAGAGGTTTCTTTTAAGACGTCTCAACAAACCCTTTCCTAGATGCTTAAATTCTTCTTTTTCCTCTACGTCTCCGTAATTGACCCATGTTTTTCCTGGAGTCTATAATTCCGATGACCTGTGCCCAGTTGATCTTATTCTTTTTTAAAGATTTACTTATTTATGCATACATCTCTGGTCCAGGCCAGAGGTGCAGGGGGCGAGAGGCTTCCCCAGAGGCAGAGCGGGGAGCAGAACAGGCCGGCTGGCAAGATGCACTGCTGAGGGGAGCTGCGGGGAGATAGGAGAGGGCTGCAGCGCCCTGGGGGTCCCCTCCGGGGCGGGGATCGAACTCGCTTCACAGTGCTGCACCTTCACTTGCTGCGCCACCAGAGAGGGCCCTATTTCTTTTTTTTTTCTAAGGCGGTTTCTATCTTGGACGGTTTCTGACGTCCACTTGACTCCTCACCTCCACGTGACCCTCTCCCCTCTCTGTGTCGTTTCATCTGGCTCCAGCCCGGGGCTGTCAAATCACTGCTCACAGCACCCTGCTCTGCTCTGCCGGGGACCACGGTCTGGGGTTTTCCTCCCGCAGGCTACTCCTCACCACAGGGCAGCCGCCCCCCTTCCTGCCTCCCCGTTCATGCCGTGGCCTGTCGCCGACCTGTGGCCTCCCCCTCCCGCCTCTCTCCCACCAGGCACAGGCGGCCTGCGCAGTCTGCTCACCCGCCACGGGAGCTTGCTCCCCCGCTGCCTTCGCTGGCTCAGTGAGCTGAGAGGCGGGACAGGGCTTTTTAGCTGCTTTTCTAGCTGGAGGTGTCGGAGGATGCCAGCTGGACCCCTCGCTCCTGCAAGGCGGGGTCTGGCTTTCTCTCCTGAGACCTGGCAAACTCTGCCCCACCCCAGGAGAGCACCCAGTCCCACACCGTGCATCTTTGCCTGAGGGCCTGCACACCCTGGGGAAGGGCACATCCTTGAGACTTCGGAGGCCTCTGCTGGGGCCCTGAGGGTGGCGTCTGATCTCTACTGCCCCCACTTCTTACATCCTGAACCTGCCCGGGGCTTGCTGACTCACTCCTGCTCCACCTGGTGTCTCTGTTCCTGCCTTGTTTGTTTCCAAAAGTGTTCCTGATAGTTCTTGGCATTTTGTCCACTTGATTTCTCTCCCCAGCAGGGCCCTAGGAGGGCGGGGGGTGGGGTCCCGGCCACTCCTATCACAGGCTTCATTCAGCTCATTGCAATTACTGCACAGAGCTGCACTTGACTTATGTTTAGTTCCCATTTTTGCTAGATTGTGCAGGTTTGTTTATTCCGCCAGTAAATTGTGGGGCAGGAACTTGTGATCATTCTGCCATTTTTACGTGGCTGCCCATGGCCTCTCCAATGTCCCCCTGTGCCCAGGGACCTCTGAAGGGAAAGCGCGTTGTCCGGCTTTACAGATGTGAAGACGGAGGTCAGGCAGCGTAGGCGAGTGGCAGAGGGGCCGAGAGGAGGGCGGCGGGAGGCGGGCGCGGCCCCCGCGCAGCCCGGGCACGCTCTGGCCCGCGGGGAGGCCAGGCTCAGCCGGGTTCTGAGCTGCCGCTGGGGCCGCGCATCCAGCCCCGGCTCCGGCGCCGCCCGGCGTCCCCGCGGTTGCCTCGGAAACAGCGCGGCCGCGCAGGCGCGTTCTGCACCAGGGGCGGGCGCGCTCCGGGCTGGGTGGAACGGCACTGCGCATGCGTCCCATCTTTGTTGCTAGGTTGCGCCTCGCGTCGGGCGCTGCAGGTTAGGAGCCTGCGGTGGCTACAGAAACTAGCGCATCCCCTGCCCGTGCCGCCCGTGCCTGCGCACGCCCCGAACTGTCGCCATTCCCGGCCCCAGAGAGACGGCAGCCCGAGCCCCGCCCCCTCCCGAAGGACCTCCCCTGGGGGAGTCCTGCACCCTCCAGCCGGCGCCCTCCAGAGGGGGACCCAAGAGCTTCCCAGCAGACGAGTGGAAGAGGGAAAGTAGCCGGTCATGTCGAACGCGTAAGTGGGCACTGCGCCCTGGCCGTGGAGTGGACTTCGCTAGCACAAGGATAACCCGCTCCTCTTCTCTCTTTCCTTCTCCTCTCCCCGCACCGCCGTTTTACGTTTTAGAAAATAAAGATGCTCCTCAGGAGAGCGTATCTGCTCCTGGTGGACAGGAGTGTACACTCAAGGATGCCCCTGCTTCCCTCGCAGCCCGCCCCGGGAAGGCCAGCGCCTGGGCCACCGCGTGCGCCCGCCCCCGCGAGGCTGTTCCGGCGCGGGTACTTCCGCGGGCCAGCGCAGGGCCAGCTTTTGTTCCTTTTCCACACGGGGCTGCTTTGCAGGAACCCCGGGTGCGGCTGTCCCGCCCTGCTGGGCGCCGCGCACCCTGCGGGGCACCGTGACCAGCCGCCAGCGGGGTCTCCCACCACAGGGCCGCGTCACGCCCGCTCGGTGCCGGCCAGGCGCCCGGACACACAGCGGCTCTCGCGGCCCGGGCGTCCCTGTTCCTGTTTGCAGCCGAGGGAAGCGGCACCAGTGTAAGCACTCGCAGCTCCTACAGCCTACAGGGGCCCCAGGCGCTGTCCGGCAGCTGGCCGCTGCGCCCGGCCTCACACTCACCCAGAGTTCCGGGCAGGCAGGTGTGGGAGCTGTGAGGTTCTGGCCTGTGGAGGGCTGGGGCCGGGGATCGGTCGGTCTGGGGCGCTGCGTTTGGAATATGTGCTGGGCGTCAAGCAGGCAGCTCGTGGTGGCCTGCGTGTCAGAGACCCCTGGGCAGCGGCAGGGGCAGGGGTGGACAGGGAGGAGGAGTGGTCTGCCCACTGAGGACGGCAGGGGTGCGAAGGCCCTTTACAGTAGGGGGGCAGAGGTGGGCCATAACGGCAGCCAGAGGGACATAGACAAGCGCTGGGCCCTTTCCTGGAGGACACCGGACAGAGAAGTGGCCAGCGGCCACCATACCATGGTGAGGCCCTGAGCTGAGCCCGCCAGGTGGGAGACAAGTGGTGGGGGAAATCTCAACTTTTTTAAAATCGGGAAGCTGGTGCGTTTATATATTTCAGCACACTGAAGATCTATAAAATATTACATAGAAGTTATTACTGGGAGGGAAAGCGACGCCGAGGAGAGCCCCCGCGAGAACCCGGCCTGCAGGCAGATACTCGGGTGACCCGACGCTCGCTGGGCTCGAGAGTCTTCGGGCATGGAGTGACCTGGCGTGGCCGGGCCCGAGGGACTGGCCAGGCGCTCAGCCACTGCCACCCACGGGCAGTGGGGGGGCAGGCGGCAGAGAGGCCAGGGCGAGGTGGGCGGGGCCCCAGAAGCCAGGGGAGGGGCGCTGTCTCCGGAGGAGGGGTCGTTGTCAGGGAGATGGGGAGCTGGCGGGACCTAGCCGGGAGCCCAGAGGTGCCCCTGCCCTTCCTGGGCTGCAGGAGTCCATGCGAGGTGCGGCGGAGTGTGGGGTGCTACAGTGCATGGCCAGGTGCACCCTGGCAGGCCACGGCGGTGGGGCAGCCTGGGAGTCGCAAGCAAAGAAACCGTAGTCAGTGTGTGTTTGCTGCTGAGGGCGTGCCGGGTGGGGGCAGAGAGGGTGCCGGGGAGGAGCAGCAGACGGCTTGCCAGCGAGGGCAGGGCCCGAGCGCAGGGGGCGGGCGCCCGCTTCAGCTGACGGCCGGGGGTTAGCGCCAGGGGAAGGCAGCCAGGTGTGGGGCGGAGTCTGGGGCGGGGAAGGTGCCCAGCTGGTGGGTGACAGCCACCGGGCAGAGGCAGGAGAAATGTGTGGAGCTCGGGTGCGGGTCCAGAATGTTCTAGAGGTGGCAGTGGACCGCCCGGCCCGCCCCTCACCCGGGGCTGGAGGGCTGGGGAGGCGGAGCAGAGGGCCGCAGGGGCAGTGTTCCCAGGGAGGTCAGCCCGCAGGCCACGGGATACTCAGGGCCCAGCACAACAGCCAGATGCCAGGGAGAGTGAAGGCTTTGTGGCGGATCAGATACCCGGCCCAGCGCCCACTTGAAGTCAGAGCTTCCACCCGATTGCTGCTGCGTGAAGTCCGGCCGCCCTGCTCCTGGGCGGGCCAGCCGCGGAGCTGCGGGACACCCCTCCTGTCCTTTGTCCCGGCCCCTGGCTCCCGCACCGTCCTCCGGCTTGGAACCGCAGCCTGTGGTCATGGGCCCAGCTGAGACCCACCACGAGCTCACAGCAGTGTCCAGCAGCCTCCTGGATAATGCCCTTCCCCAGGCGCTTTCAGTTTTTCGCGGACCCTTTCTATGTGTTTTCACCCCACGGCCAAGCTTTGGGGGTGCGGCCTTCCCCGCCAATGCATCCAAGGTGGCGATGGCCACCCTGGAAAGGAGCCGTCAGGCAGTAACAGGAGACGGGCGGACACAGGTGAACTTGGGGACATTCTGCTCAGTGCAAGGTCACCCCTCAACCCCCTGCGCAGACCCCTGACGCCAGGTTCTCTGGTGTCAGTTCACACTGCGTGGCAGGGTGGGGGGCAGGCAACAGCTGCGGATCGCCCCTTCCCCCCGTCCCCCCACACCAGTAAGGAAAGGGAGGTGCTGGGCTGGAGAGCAAAGCGGGGTACTTTGCTCAGAAGCACCAGCCCAAGGCCGTGAAACGTCCAAGAGGCAAATAGGCACAGAAAGGCCCGGGAGGGCCTGGCGGGGGGCGGCGGGGGGGTGTTGTCTGGAGAGGTCTGGACCTAGGAGAGCCGGGGGGTGCACCCAGGGCCGTGCTGAGCCCCATCGTGTACACGGGGGGGCTGAGTTGTGCTGGTGGATCAGTGCCGCTGGGCAAGAGAGCTGCGCCCACCTCCCTGGGGGCGTCACCCTCGGGCCCTGCTGGTCCTGAGGGCGCGGATCCTCACAGCCCAGTGGGGAGGGACCCCGGGACAGGATGTCAGCTGGCAGCCCCCCAGCCCCACACGTGGGGTGTCAGCGCGGCCGAGGCCGGAAGCCAGTGCGCGCAGGGAAAGGTGTGGGTGCAGGGCTGGCGAGCACGCGAGGCCCGACAGGCCAGTCTCGGCCAGGAGCCCCAGCTAGGAGCCGCCGCCCAGGCCCGCCTGGAGGGCGCCCCTTTCTCTGACCCGTGGTGGGAGCACACCGAACACCGGGTCTCGGGCTCCCCGTCACCCCACCCCCACGCGTCTGGCTGCGGTTTCCCGGGTGGGGCGCGCCTGCCCGGACCCCTTGCTCCTGGTGGGTCTCGCGGGGGTCCCCGGCCCGAGGCAGCCCCTGCGGCCACTGCCCGCCCGGCTGCGCAGCAGTGCGAGGGCCCGTCCATCTGTGTGGCCCCCGCCCCGTGCAGAAGGCAGGACTTGACTTCCGCGTATTACTTGAGCCCTGAGGCGGGGGCCCTGCCCTGCTTCTGGTCTCCGCGGGCGGCCCAGGCTGCCTCTGGCCCCGGCCTGCGCGCCTCCCCAGCTGCTGTGGGCCGAGCGGGCCGCCAGCTTTCCCCGGCCTGCTGCGTGTGGGTGTGACCGTGTCGGGAACGCGCTGGCTGCTTGGTGGCTTGTGTTGTCCTGACCCATGGCCTCGGCTGCCACCGTTTCACTTACAAGTGGTTTTTTAAATCTTTCGCTTCAATCCCGCCTTTATCCACTTCATGCCTGGTCACTCTGCTTGTCAGGGCCTATTTCTGGGGTTTTCTCTGCTGAAGTCGCTTTGGTCTCTGGCTTTTCACATTTTCAGAGGGCCTCTGGTCTGTTCTTCCCAGCGGGTCGGGTGCTTTAACAGGCCAGGGCCGGGCACTTCTCTGGGCCTCCGCCGCGTCTGCAGGCCTCACTGCTGTCCTGCTCGGGGCCGAGGGCAGCCTCCCTCCCTGCGACCCTGGGGTCCCTGCGATGACCCCCAGCCAGAGGACAGGTGCCCCCTCGGCGCTGGGCCGTCGGCTGAGTGGAGTCTCAGACCCGCGCTCTCGACACAGTTACAGGTCCGTCAGTCTGGGCGCTTGTCCTGACAGCTGAGGCCACACGCCTGTCCCACGGGGCGCTCCTGTCCCCCGGGAGCCGGGGAGCATGCGCTGTGTCTCCCGCGGTCGTGGGTGGGTGGGCGCGTGGTGGGGGTCGACGGCCCCTCGGCCCCTGCAAGCCCGGGCTCTGGTGAACCGGGGCCTCGAGACCCTCTTCGCGGCCCCAGTAGAGTCACTTGCCGGGTTTCTCGTTATCCCCAGTACAGACCCCCGACTCCGTTCACAGGGAGAATGGCCGGAATATTCTGGATCCTTCCGACAGGATGCGGAGGGGGTTGCCGTGGTGACTGTCCTTTCAAGGAGCTGCTCCTGGCAAATGGCCTTGCTTGGTAGAAGTTTGCTCGGAGGAGTGAAATGCCTGGACTGAGCGGAATTCTCGACAGCGCCGTTCTCCTCAGTGAAGGTGTCTCCCGAGAGCTCTCTCGAGACATGTTTTGAAACTACTGCTAGGCTGTGAAAAATCTGGTGCTGGAACCCCAAAGACCGAGTGCCAGAAGTAATATTCATTATCACACCCAGTGGGGCACGGGGCTGGCCGGTAAATCGTTTCTGTGGCATCCGTCACACCCGTCACTGCCTGTGTGACAGATGACTGTGCCACGTGACTCGTCATCCCTCACTGGCATCCATCTTGGTGAACAGGAGTGGGAAAGTTGAGCTGTTCAGAGAATGAGCTCTGGGTGGGCTGCCTGGAGGCGGACTCCCAGGGCATCACCTGGGCAGTCATGTCGTGTCTCAGCTCTCTCACCTGTAACCGAAGTCTAATGCCTGTCTCAAAGTACTTAGAGCAGCGGCTGACTTCATAAAAGCCATCACCGCCATCAGCACCCCATCTCCGTCACTGTCACCACCACCACCATCAGCATCGTCACTCTCACCACCGCCATCACTGCCGCTACCATGGCTACCGACAACCATCATCACCACTACGACCTTCATCACCATTATCACCGTCAGCATTCATCTGAATCTAACACTCTCCACATCCAGAGAAGGGTTTCATTTTTGGCAAAGAAGATGAAACGCTCTTTCTGTGCTCAAGCACATACAAATGATCGATTAAACAATTTTAAGTGTTTATGTTAGAATTTTACATTAAAACAGTATTTTAATTGTAATTTAAAATTTATATTACTGTACTGATCCCACCTATTTATTATTGTTAACAGTACAGCATGAAGGTACACAATAAAATATTTTAAATTGAAAAATGAAGACCTGAATTATTTCAATCCAAGTTGCCAATCTCTGCAGCAGGGTCAGTCTGAGCAGGCCCAGGAGCTGGCCCAGCCCGGAGCCCGCGGGGTGGCGGTGAGGAGCGGTCCGGCCGGGAGGACTGGAGCGAGACGGCCGGGCCTCGTGTGAGTCGGGCAGGGTTACCCTTGCTGGCCTGGCCGCAGCAGCGGGACAGCGCCCACGGCCCCTGCCGCGGCCAGAAAGCGGCTCCGTCGCCGGACGGCAAGCAGTGGGCTGGGCCCGGAAGCGCAAGACCCGCCCGCCCCGTGGAGCGCCAGGCCAGGGTGACAGAGGCGACCGAGGGCACCAGCGGTGACGGAGGAGACTGGCGAATGCCACTAGGCCTGACGCGCTGCAAAGACCCACGAACGAGAGCTGAAGGGGCCAAGGGGCAGCGCCCAGGTGGGCTCTGTCGGGGTTCTCACCCCAAGCACAACAGCGAGACCCCTCAGCTGCACCCCGGACCCAACAACTGGCTTTTTGACAAAAAAAAAAACAAAACTGGAAAACGAGTTTCTAAGGCCCAGTGGCGGGCTCTCACCAGAGTGTCCTCGGTGTCACAAGTCACAGAGGCCACTCAGGAGACGAGGGGGCAGGCAGCTGCCACGGCGCAGTGTGCAGCGGGCCGGTGCCAGCCAGGCGGCACGGGCTCCACCTGCCAGGACCGAGACCCCAGGCGGCAGCGGCAGGTGGCGGCCTGGGCTGCGGAGGTGTCGGGGCGTCTAGGAGGCCTGCGAGCCCCCGGGGGGCAGCGCGTGCTGGGCGCCCTAGTCTGGGCCCTGGCACGCGGCTTCCTCCCTGCGCCCGCCTTCGTGACGGTGGTCAGCGGACCGCTTCTCCCGGGCCGCGCACACTCACCGGCGCCCGCCTGCTTTCATCCCTTCGGCCCTCGCTCTGCACGCCCGACTGGGCTGTTTTCAACTCTAAGCGTCCGACTGGGCCACCGAGCACCCATCAGCTCGATTTTCATTTCTCAGTCCAAATAATTAACCGATGATGTGAACCTGACTGGTCCGTTTTAGAATCCTGGCGCAGGTATAAGGGGGGGACGCCACCCTGCATCGGGCCCAGCACCTCAGCCCCGGGAAAGCCACCAGCCCCCAGCATGCAGAGGCCGCGGGGATCCGATTACAGGACAGTTCCGCCGTGGCACCCAGACAGGTGGACAGCCCGGCTGAGTGGTTCTCTTCTCGCAGGCGTCCCGGCACACTCAGGTGTGGCCTTGGTGGCGGGCAGGGCCGGCGCGTGGGCGGTTTGCGGAGCTGGTGCGAGCCCAACAGGGCTGGTGACTGGAGCTGAGGCCGCGAGGGCCAGGCCTGTGACCCAGGAAGGTGGGAGCGGGGCTTCCCATCACACCGTGCACAGAGCAAGAGCTTTTAACTTCCAACCGCCACCTTCTCCTGAACCCACCCCAAAGGGCGGGCTGGAGGAGGCCTCCCTTCTTGCATAGCGCTGTGAAGCTGGCAGCAGCCGCTTTGGCACGAGTCCAATCCCCAGCCGGGGAGGGACCCAGGGCGCAGCAGACCCTCCCGTCTCCCCGCTGCTCCCCTCAGCAGTGGGTTTCAGGACATCTGCCTGTCTGCTCCCCACTCTGCCTTTGGGGAGTCCTCTCACTGCCCCTGCACCGCTGGCCTGTACCCCAATTCTGTTTGCATAAATAAATGCATCTTAAAAAAAAAAGTGGGAGGGCCGGGATGGCATGGCGCGTGACAGGAGCTAGCTGATTTGGGCTGGCAGCCTCGTCTGGCTGCCTCGTCTGGCTGCCAGGGGAGGGCGGCGGGCAGGTGACCTGCAGCGGGGCGTGAGCATGGAGGGCCAGCGGGTTCCGCGAGCAGCCTGGGGGGAGGGGGCTGTGCTGCTTTGGGCCTTCCCACCCCGGGGAGGTGCCGAGCGCCCCATCCTGGAGCAGGTGCACCTGCGGCACGTGGCCGTGAGCGGATGCCAGGCCCGGCGGGCGTGGGGTGAGCTCAGACTGCTGAGAGGAGATGGGCGCCCTCTGGCCCCTCCCCACTTGCCTCTCAGGCAGGAGACTGGAGCCCCCACCCCAGGCAAGACCATGCAGACACTGATGCCGGGGCTCCCAACCCTGGCGAGACTCACTGCTTAATGCGCCCCTTTCCACACCCTGCCCCGCTACTCTGCCCCGCTCTGGATATAAAGGGGGCGCCAAACTCTGGGGGAGCAAGGTCTTTGCCGTGACTGTCACTGTGCTCGCAGGCCGGGGTTTGGCAGGGGCCTAGTCCGGGCCGCGGCAGGGAGAGGCAGAGCCTGGCACGCGCGTGGCCGCGGCAGGGAGGCAGAGGGCGGGGCCTGGCCCGCTCACCCTGGGCCGACTGCTCTTCCGTGGCTCAGCCAGGGCAAAACTGGGGGCGGGGGGCCCGCGACACAGCCCAGGGCCGCCCCGCCCCCGCCTGCTCCCGACTCCTCGCCCTCTGAGTTACGGCTCTAAGGCCACGCTCGTTGCTCGCGGGCGTCACTCACTCACCACCGCAGCTGTGTGGCCTGTGTGGCACACACGTGGCACTTCCCTGGGCTCCTGAGGACACCGGGGCATGGTCACACACCTGGGGGCACACCCAGGCTTAGCGGGCAGACTGCCAGGGCCGCCGGGCCGTGCCTGTGGACAGAGAGGCAGAGTGACACGCGACTGTGGCCATTTACTCCGACTGCGGATGGACATTCAGGCCGTTGCCCCACTGTTTGCAATGACCGTGACCCTCCTCGATGGGGTCCACAGGGCTCAGGAGAGGGCGCCACCGGCCAGCAGTGCTGTGCTTCAGGGTGGCTGCTGCAGGGTGTGCTGGCCTCCGCCACGCCTGTGGGCTCCGCTGGGGCTCTGGCCGACCGTCCTTGGACGGCGGGACGTGCCCACGCTGTGTCTTGGGCGCGGTGAGGCCCGGCGGCACCACTCACCGGAGGCTTTCCCAACCTCTCCCGCTGTTTGCTCGCTAGGTAACAGCGGCCGTGTGCAGAGACCACGCGCGCCCCCAAACAGAACTCGGGGCTCAGGGCCTCGTGCGGCGCCCTGGCCCCCGGGGCGGGTGGGGGTGCGCGTCGTGCGTGGCCAGCCGCCGGTGGGTGCCCCGCCCCAGAGCCGCTCCGGCTCACGGGGTCGCCTGAACTGTCCTCCCGCAGGATGTATAACACGATGTGGCACCAGACCCAGGAAGCCCTCAACTCTTTGCTCGTGAAAGAGTCTCAGAAGATGCTGGAGCCACAGAGCAGTCCGGTGTTCATCTTCCAGATGCTGGCCACCTTCTACATCAAGTACGTGCAGATCTTCAGGAGCATGGAGAGCGTCTACGACCAGATCGTCCACCCGCAGAAGCGCATCCTCGTCCGGAAGATGCTGGACGGGGTGATGGGCCGCATCCTGGAGCTGAAGAGCGAGCTGGTCGAGCTGGAGCTCTCGGAGTTCCACTACTTCGATGACATCTTACAGGACTTAAAGCTGCTTCCTGTGAGTAGGGGCTTTTTGTTTTCTCACTTGTTTCTTTCTGCTTGCAATCAGCTATGCGGGCCTGTGGCCAGCTTCCCGCAGGCTTTCCAGACCCGCTGACCGGCTGTTTGCCGCAATAAAGCTGGGGCCCAGCCCTCCCGTAGACCCCGGCGCACGGTGAGGGCGGGCTTCCCGCCGGCTGCCGCCAGTCCTCGCCCAGCCCTGGGCCGGCGGCCCGGCCCGAGGCGGCTGCCATCCGGTGGCGCCGTGTCTGCCCATCTCCCCGCCCGGCCTGGTTCCGACAGCAGCGCCCGCCCCCGCCGCTGCAAGGAAGCTCTGTCTCCCCCGCCCGCGAGCAGCCTGCAGGGTGGATTAAGCTTTGCGCGGAGGCCGACTCGGACGTGTCCACTGGCTGTGGAGGGCCAGGCACTGGGCAGGGTGCTCCCCTTCTCCCGCCACCCCGGGCCCCGCAGTCACAGGGGAAGCACCCCACAGCGCCCTGAGTCTGGGCCTCTGGCTGTCCCCAGAGCCGTGGCGCTCTTCTGCTGCTCAGCCAGCGGTTCGCACAGCTGGACCCGAGCCCCTAAGCATGGCTGTGCGGTTGGGGGGTTTGGCGGCTGCACAGCCCGGGCCCCCGCAGGAGATCTGGGACTGGACAGAGCGAGCGCGCTGTAGGCAGCCAGGCACCCAGGCAGGCGGGGGAGCTGCTTGGGAGGGTCGAAGTTAGTGTCCGTCACCTCTGACTGGGGACGCTCCCGCCCGGCCCAGGAGGTCCCACGTCCTCCCCCACTGCCCCTACTGGGGAAGCTGGACTGTTCCGCGACCTGCCCCCGAGGGCGCTCTCGTTAGTAGGTTCTCGAGTGTAGAGAAACATGCGGGGGCTGGAAGTTCCTTGGTTCTGCCCCCAGAAAACGGAAAGAACCCCAGGTGTCTGCGCGGGCGTGGGTCCGGCACGGGTCCAGTGGAGACGGCCTTCCCGCCCTCCGTTCTCCATGTCTGTTCCACACCCCGGAGCCTCACCATGACACTGCACCCCTAGGCAGGCCGTGCAGCCAGGCGAACACCGCTTTGTCTTCAGTTCCAGAGCACAACCGTGAGCGTACCACTAACAGATACAACCGTGATACTCAGTGGGATCATTCTCCTCTGTGCCCCAGCCCACGCTTACCCCCCGGATGCTCATTCTCAGGAACCGTGGGGGGCCCGGAGCCTGCCCCCTCCTCGGTGGACAGGATTTTGAGGCTAGCCTCACAGATATTCATTACCTCCTCTAGTCTGAAATATTTGTAATGAGCGCCAGCGGAGAGCCAACGTTAACATCATCATATAAAAATGAGTTTCCTAATAAACAAATTGATTTTGTAAATAATTTTTGCAATGGGGTGAGCTAGGTAAAAATAAAACCATATTTTTAGCAATGCGTGACCATTTCCATACTGACAGTTGATGATGCTACATTGTTGGACTTAAGTCAAAGACGCCTGCCGCTGCACAGCGTCCTCACGGCGTCCTGACTCGCCGCCATCCCAGGCAGGCTGACCTGGACACCTCTGGAGTATTCACCGCTTGGCCTCAGTGAGCCCAGGCCAAGGGGACGTGCCCTCGGGGCTTGACTGTAATGACCAGACAAGGGTCGTCAAGGCCGTTCCCCTTGCTGCTTGTCTCCTTCCTCAGCATCCCTTAGGTGAGGGCAGAGTGAGCCCTGGTGTGGTGCCCACAAGCACTTTTGTCCTCTCTCTCTAGCAACAGCTGGACATCCCCATACCCAAGTACTTCCTGAAGGAGAAGTCAGACGTGATCAAAGGACGAGAGAAGATCCTGTCTCAGATAATCACCAGCAGTGGGCTAGATCTTCCGGGCAAGGTGTGTGCACCCCTCTAAACGCCTCATGGCTGTGACCGGCCACTGCACTCCCTTCCCACAGACGGAGCCCCCGCCCCGTGTCCAGTGTAGCTCTGGGGTGTGTTTCTGATGACTTGTTCCCATTATGTTTGATAACTAAGGGGTCGACGCACAAATACTCTCCTGGTTAAGTCGGGATCTCTGAGACCCAGGCCATCATCAACTCGGTCAGTTTCTCACCTCCAATCAATCGCCTGTGGTGGGTGGCGGGTGCTGGTCAGGGAAGTGACTGAGCTCTGTGGTCACTACAGGCAGCTCAAACATAGTCCAAAAACTTGATAGGAACTGTCCAGTTCAGTGATACCTGGAACCCCTCAAATGGACAGTGTTGTGGGGAGGGAAACTCCCCAAAGGCCCCCTGGAAGGCATGCAGGAGCCCCCACCCCCACAGCGACATGCCATGGGCCACCTTAACCGGGACAGTCAGAGAGGGCACAACCCGAGGCGGGGAGGAACAAGTGACCAGCACCTGTTGTCCTACAACAGGCCCCTGGCACTGCGGGTCTGGTGCTCAGGAAGCCCCACCCTCACCCCTTCATATCTCCCACCTCCACCCCCCCAACCCCCCTAACC